AATGCTTGCCTTAGAAATACCTGAATTGCTTGAAGTTATCTTTGGCTTTCTCAATAGGAAAGACCTCTATAGGAGTTGTACCAGAGTAAGCCACCAATGGAATGCTGTATCCATATATGTTATTCAGAAAAAAAGAAAAAGTGAATTTATTAATATTCCCGACATTTGTGATAATATTCTTTTTCATCTATTTGATAATAATAATAATAATGCTGAAATTAATAAATACTGCAGTATAAGTAAATTATGGATAAATCCTTATATATCTATATGAAAGTGATGGTTATTTTAGTCATCTTGCACAATTTGAGTGGTTCCTAAAAGTTGGTCATATTATTAGAGGATCTTCTTTTAATGAATGAAATCTAATCTTATAGATTATATTGAGAAATATCTTCCTCAAAATTTAAAACATGATTGCGGACTTAATAGATATTATCAAGATATCTTATCCAATATATTATTCGAGATGAATTTTTTAGATTATCTATAGAGGGTGATCATGGGTACCCAAACGATAAGTATTTTTTTGTTTATTCGCTTTGTTTACATATTTACATATATTTCTAATTTAAGCATTTCTTTAGAATATAAATGGATGTCGATCACAATAATAACAAATAATTTTCTTTCAAACAAAAATGGTTAAAATAAAAGAATTGAATGCTGAATAATATAGGGCAATTCTTTACGGCCACAAACGAGGTGATTCATATCAAAAAATTGCTGACATTGTACAATGTGGTAAAACAACTGTTCATGATGCGATAAAACGTTTTAAAGAAACTAGTTCTGCAATACCAAAAAAATGTTGTGACCTGAAGCCACTTTTTAATTCAAATGCAAAATCTTTACTCAAAAAGATTATTACACAAAATTCGAAGCATCGTTGCCTTACCACTACAAAATTTCAAGAATTATGGACTAAAAAAAAAAAGAAAGTTCAACTGTTATAATTCGTCGGACTCTTAAAAAAGTCGGCTTACGTTCGTGTGTTGCTCACTCTAAACTATTAATTTCTGAAAATAATAAAGAAAAAAGATTGTCTTGGGCATTAGAATGAGAAAATTGGACAATTGCAAAATGGAAGAAAGTTATATAGTCTGATGAATCAATATTTAGCCAATTTTCACAAGGTCGTAGCTTACGTATGTGGCGTATACCAGAAGAAGAATTTGACACTTCTTGTTTAACTGCTACAGTAAAGCACAGTCCCAGTCGAATGTTTTGGAGATGCTTTTCGTTGTATGGGCTGGGACCTCTTGTTCCTCTTCGCGAATTTGTAACAGGACAAAGATATGCAAAAGTGTTACAGAGGCATGCTATTCCTTCAATTTACAAATTAGTTCCTCGCAAACAAGGAATTTTTCAAGAGGATAATGCCCCACCTCATTGAGCAAAGATTGCCACTGATATTCGTAAGGCCTCTAAGATTTCCATGCTACCTTGGCCTGCACAAAGCCCTGATTTAAATCCTATTGAAAATCTTTGAAATGAAGTTGATAAGAAACTTCGTAACTTGCCTAATCAACCTAAAAATGTGGAAGATTTAAAACGTAAGGTAAAATATGCTTGGCGTTCAATTCCACTTGAGTATATTCAAAATTTAGTTGAAAATATGCCCCGTCGCATTCAAGCATATATAGCAGCCAAAGGTGGTTCAACAAAGTATTAGTTTTTATTTTTTTTTTAATAAAATATATAGGAAATGTTCAGAACAAATAAATTTTTTGCTTATTCTAAAAAAATGTTAATATAATAAGTATATTCAAATAGTTTAATT